AAAGCCCAGCTTTGCTTGCCCAGTAAAGCACAGCCAGCTTTTAATTCTCCATCCAGGGATGAACACCTGGATTTTGCCACCATCCAAAGAGCTGGACCAAAGATGTCCCAGCCATGGTGGGACCGGGTTTGTCCCTCACTTTTGGGCTCCTTGGCACTCTCCGTGGTCATCAGGTTGGCCTCCTCCTCCCTCTGGTAGGCTGTCAGGCAGGCAGGGTTGAAGGTCCAGGACTGTCCCCCCACTGACACTCGCAGATCTCCGTCCCCGTAGACCTTGATCACCTTCCCAATGTGCCCTAGGGTCTGTAAAGAAAAAAAAGGATTTTTTTTTTTTTCCCCTCCCCACCCTCCTCAAAGCTGCAGTTCCCAGACCTAAAGCCAGGTTTGGTTTTTTATTTTTATTTTTTTTTAATTTTTTTTGGGTTTATTTTTTCGTAAAGCTGCAGCTCCTGCTGTGTGAAAAGAAGCACTGGACAAGTGACACACTGACAGACAGCTCCCACTTCGAGGACACCAGAGGGTTCTCACCAGGTTCTCTCTCACTGGTTTGCCATGGAATGGTTTTCCCACTGGAAAAGGCTGGGGAGGGAGGTGCTGATAGGAACTGATCCAGCTGGGATTGGGGATGGTTTCCTCTGGGCTTCAACTGCTCCTGGAGGAACCCGAATCCCACTTTTTAGCCACGCTGGGCTGATTTTTCCACCTCCCTGCCTCATTCCAGACAGTCAGGGAGGCCACGAGAGGACTTTGCTGATGGAAACCTCTAACATGAGTTGGTGGCACCAAATCCTTTTTGCTGGATTCCCCCGTGTCCCCTTTGGGTGCCGTGGACACGACGGCGTCACCGAGAGCCACCAGCACCAGGGGCTGGGCAGGGACATCCCAGCAGGAATTCTGGAAGGGGGACAAGCCCATGGCTGAGTGCTGAGGGCCTGGGGAAGCTCAGGAGGTTACTGGACTGTCCTGGAGCTGGAACTGGCGTGCACTCACAGGTGCCATCTCATCTGTCCACTCCCCATGACCAGGTTGGAACCTCTTCACTGTTTCCATATCATCTATCACCCGGACCACATCACCAACCCAAAAGGTGTTGAGCTACAAGAAAAAGAAAGTCATAAGCTTTTGGGGGATGAAGCCACACACACACACACAAAGAGACAAAAAATCAGCCCCTCCGCCCCACTCCCAAAATCCTGACAAACAAGACACCCACTGAGTCAAAAAACAGCATTGCAAAACATAAATGCAGCTACCAAGAAAGCTCTGTTACCCCTGAGCTGCAAAATAAACACAGACCATTTAAGTAGGGAAATAATTTGGAACAGGCTCTTCCCTAACTTCTTGTGCTCCAAATCCTTTATAATTAATACCAGATAAAGCATGGAAGTTTTCTTGGTCCATCTCCTCTCTACACCTGGCTTGGCACTGGAGATTTGAATTCACTCTGATAAAGAAGTTAAATCTGTTTGTTATCTAAAACAGAAAAGGGAAAGCAGGGTTTATCTGTGCTGGGAATTTGCCAGATGCTCCCTCTGCTCACTGAGCTAGGAAGGGAGCAGTGTCAAAACACACTTTTCAGAGCAGACTGATTTTCTGCAAAACAGTCTGACACTGCATTTTCCACTGGAATTAGGAGTTTTTAGCATTGTGACCTTGCTCAGGTCAGAATTTTGTGGTCTTCCAGCAGCTTCTTCCATACCTAATTATCTCTATTTCTAATTATCCACTTCTCAAAGTCCTCAAACCTCTGGGGAAGGCCAGAGCTGTGAGCTTTGGAAATGCAGCCGCAAAATTAGAAGGGCTGGATTAAAGACTCGTAAGAAATCAAAGAGAAGTGAGACAGAGATGCAAAAGAGAACAACGTGGAGACACAAAACACAGAAGAACAAAAACAACCAAAGGGAAGTTATGTGGGGGAAAAGGTTCATCACAAGGGCAAGGCAGCTGCAGAAGGATGAGGCGCTGGAAGCTGAAATTAAGAAATGCAGTTTACCATCAGGACTTGCAAATGCAAAAGTTTCCAAATTGTGTTTGGGAAGAGCAGGGTGTTCCTTCAGCACCTCTGGGGACACCCTGAGCCCGAAGCAGCAGGATTAGAGAGCTCCTGCAGCACTGCCAGACCTACCTTGGTCAGGGCTCCAGGGTGGAAGGTCCAGCGGGTCTCACTGTTGAACTGGACCCTCACGTCCCCCCTGTCCGTGATCCTGTGCACGGTCCCCGTCTGCCCAATGAACTGGGGACAAAAAAAGGAAAGAGGGGAAATTCCCTCAATAAATCACCTTCTTTAATAGTGGGGAAAGAAGGTATGTGAGGCTAAATCACCCAGCATTTCCCATCCACAGTGCTCCCAAACCTTTGCTCTGTATTTTCATACTAAGCGCAGCATTTCCCAGTCCTGAACTCTGGGTTTTCCTGTTAATTCCAGCATTAGCAAGTCCTAAATTCCTGTGAGTCCTAAATTCAGCATTTTCCTGTTCATCCCAGCATTTCCAAGTCCTAAATTCCTGTGAGTCCTAAATTCTGGATTTTCCCGTTATTCCCAGCATATCCCAATCCTAAATTCTACATCTTCCTGTTAATCACAGTATTTCCAAATCCTAAATTCCTGTGAATCTTAAATTCTATATATTCCTGTTAATCCAAACATTTCCTAGTCCTAAATTGCTGTGAGTCCTAAATTCAGCATTTTCCTGTTAATCCCAGCATTTCCAATTCCTAAATTCAGCATTTTCCTGTTCATCCCAGCATTTCCAAGTCCTAAATTCCTGTGAGTCCTAAAACCTGGATTTTCCCCATTAATCCCATATTTCCCAGTCCTAAATTCTGCATTTTCCTGTTAATCCCAGCATTTCCAATATCTGCATGAGATGTAAACATTATTTTTCTACAAAAAGGAGGGGAAAGGCTCCTCTAAAAGCTCCTCTGAAAGAGCAGCATATTGGGGGAGGAGGGGGATAGGAATACCAAGTGCAGAGATGCTTGGAAATGCAGCACAAATTGTCCTTTCCAAAGGACAGAGGTGGGCAGGGAATCCAACGTTGTTCTGCATTATAAAATACCAGCAAGGCAAACTCTGAGAGGGGGAAAAAGGGGCCAGGCACACAAAATAAAAATAAAATTGTGTGGCGCAGTTCTAGATCAGGTCCTGAGCATCTCATGGTTTGTAAATAGGTGAAAAATGCCAATTTCTGAGGTGACAGGAGGTTCCTGTCTCTCTGTTTAGTATCCCTGTCTACCCCCCAAAAACAGGAATTGAGGAGCACAGAGGTTGAACAGCCAACAACAGACACAGGAACACCCAAAATCTACAGCTTTGGGGGTGCATTCCTGAGCTGGAATTAAAAAACTCAATGCTCCACTGGCAGCTTTGTTAAAGTTCATCAGAAGATGCCAAATCCCTGCCTGCCAGGCTGAAAAAAAAACCCAAAAAAAGACGATGATGCTCAGTTAAGAGATTTCCACATTGAAACTGAAATCACAGCATTTGCCTTGACATTAATTTAAAGTTTCAAAAAGTGTGCTCACCTATAGGGCAGGTTGGGCCAGGATAGATATTTAACATATCTTGATGATTTTATAGTATTTATTGATGCAATTTACAGTAATAGATGCCATTTCTATCTTTATTTCCTCCACTCTCTGGGTTTTTTTAAAATAACAGGTGACAGCAGACTGATGGCTCTTCAATTTAAAGGCAAGACTAAGCTCCAAAAATATGATATGGGCTGAGGAATTTTAGCCCTGGCCAAGGACAGAGCCCAGTGCTGACAAAACACACAACTTTAATTACCAGTAATGCACAGCACAAAAGAAGCCAAACAAGGAATGGATCCAGAACAGCAAAGACCTGTGGCTCATTTAAAAACAAACAAATCAGCTTTTTTTTTTTTTTTTTTTTTTTTTTTTAATTTTTTCTCATCCAACAGAGCCTAAAAATAACTCTGACTCCAGCGTCCTATCACTAAAAAAATCTGCATTTGTGGTTCAGTTCAACTCTGAGGTCACACGAAGCTGTCCTGAAGAAGGAGGGAGAGGCTGGGATTGGAGCCAGGGAGAATCCAGGAATTACCTCAGCCATTTTGGGGTTCCAGCCTCCGTGGCCCTCCTGCATCTCCCGCAGGATGTCGATGTCCAGCAGGCACTTGACCTTGTCCCCGTGCTGGAAGGGATGTCTGTCCGTGCTCTCCTTCCTCTGCAGCTCAGCTGGCTTCCCTGGGGACAGCAAGGACAGCAGCCACGGGCATGCAGGGGCACTCACACACCCCCGTGCCTCCCTGCTCCCTTACAAGGGTTAAAAATTTACATTAACTGGGGGAGAATGGGGCAAACCCCTTTCTGTGCCCCATACACTCTATAGGGCAGCAGAGAAATCAGGATTGAACTCTAATTATATTAATAGTTGCATTATGTTACAATTCTATTTCACAATTACAATTCTGTTTTACAATTACAATTATATTATAATTACAATTATATTAATAAAACACAAACAGCTCTAACTTAACCCATTTTGTCTCTGGGTGCCTCACCGGCTTCCTTACAAGGGTTGAAAATTAACATTAACTGGGGGAGAATGGGGCAAACCCCTTTTCATGCCCCAAACACTTTATAGGGCAGCAGAGAAATCAGAAGGATTTCATTCTAATTATATTAATAATTACTTTATATTAATAAAACATAAGCAGTTCTAACTTGACCCATTTTGTCTCTGGGTGCCTCAGTGGCTTCCTTACAAGGGTGAAAATTAACATTAACTGGGGGAGAATGGTGCACACCTCTTTTCGTGCCCTATACACTTTATAGGGCAGCAGAGAAATCGGAAGGATTTAATTCTGATTATACTAATAATTGCATTATATTTTACAATTAGACTATATTAACAAAACATAAGCAGCTCTAACAAAACCCATTTTGTCCCTCTGCAGAGCAGGGAATGCCTCTCAGGCCATGGCAGACACCAGGAGCTGTTCTTAGCAATCCACTCACCCACAACTGTTCAGACATGCCCACACAGCACCCAAAATTAATTCTCCCCTGCACAGGCAGGCACAGAATTCACTCCGAGGAGTTCCTGACCCTCCCACCCATCCCATGCAGCCAGACCCTGGAATTAAGCTCCTCATCCAACCATGCTCTTGCCAAGGTGCTCAGGGAGAGAAAAGTTTGAAAAGGACTGGTAAAAGTCTTCCTGAAAAGTTTTGTCTGACAAAAACCTTGATTTTGCTGCTGCAAACACCAGAACAAACCCCTCTGTTTTCCTTCAGGGGAGCCAAAGATGGTCCCTGCACCTCCTTAAAAGAAAAACAACCCCAGAGCTAAATTACACCTGGGTAAAAAAAAACTTTCAAGTCCAAAAGCACAAGGAGTTTACTTGGACTTAAGAGGAAAGGGGGATTGCAGCAAGCTGCCAGTACAGACATCACCTTTTCCCACCACTTTTTCTAATTTTTGGCTGTTCCATTCTCCAAAGTCTCCCTTTGGTCACATTCCCCCTTTTGGCTCCACCAGGAGTGTGTTTGTTCTCTAAATGCACAGAGAACAGCTTGCCTGAAGAATGGAAAGCTTTGGGTTGACAAATGTAACCAAAGTGAGGAAAGTTGGGTTTTCTGAGGCAAAGTGGGAATTTCCTGCATTTCCAGCAGAAATTCCTTGGGACAGAACTGTGGGTATCTGCTGCTTCAAACTATTTCATGAACCACTCTGAGATCAAGCAGTATGTTCACACACAAACCAAATTCTCTCAAATGATGATCGTTATGTGGGAATTTTAGAAAATCAGGAGGTGGTTTTATGCCTTCCGAACAAAAACCGGCTCCAGCGCCAGCGGCCGTGTGAATCCTCAACAAAGACTCCACCTGGCAACGATCTGCCTCCACCCACCTAATTTTGGGAGGTGCTCCTTGTAGTAGAAGCCCCCAGAAGCCTCCACAGTACATTTGAGGTCCACTTTTCCCTTGTGGCCCACCCTGTAGACGTTGGTGGTTCCATCTGCCCAGGTGACGCTGGCGACGCTGCGGCCGGTCTCCACGTCCCAGCCCCGGATATCGACCACGCGGCCGGTCTTGCCCTCACCCCCTGAGGGGAAAAGAAGAGCAAGTCAGGAAAGCTGGACCATGAGACAACTCGTTTGGAGTGATTAGGAGGGAATCTCGGCGTTAAATTTGCTGAAAACCAGCGAGCTGTTCATTTTGGAGTGATTCCGTGGAGAATTCCTGGTGTGCAGGAGCATGGCCCAGTTGGGGAATAAACACACGGTGTCATGGCACCACACTGTGGCAATAAAAATAGCCAGCAGTGCTGCAAGATCCAAGATCCAAGTGCTAAAGATCCACCCAGGATCTTTACATCTCTCCCCAACACCATCCTTGTGCTGCAAGATCCAGGATCCAAGTGCTAAAGATCCACCCAGGATCTTTACATCCCTCCCCAACACCATCCATGCTACAAGAAAATAAAGACTGCTTTCTTTCTGAAAAATCTTTAATTGATAGTGGAAAGTTTCTCTGACTTTGTGCACACTATCCATTTTCTTTTGGAGTGTTTGGAATGTCCTTATTTGGACACTTTTGAGAACACGGAGGAGAAATTCTCTCTAAGGAGGGTTTCACATGTTGCACTAGTGAAGGACTCCGAGGCTATTGCAGAGTGGTTCCTGCTTTCTGCAGGAAATGTGCTGCAAGATCCAGGATCCAAGTGCTAAAGATCCACCCAGGATCATTAAATCTCTCCCCAACACCATCCATGTGCTGCAAGATCCAAGATCCAAGTGCTAAAGATCCACCCAGGATTTTTAAATCTCTCCCCAACACCATCCAGGTGGGAGGACATCAAATAAACTTGGTTTTCTTCAAGCAAGGAGCCTGAAGACTCCAGAAGAGGAGGATGGATGTGGGGAGGTGAATCTGGCTGGGCACTGGGACGTGCTCTGATCCAAGAGACAACACTGAGCCTTGTGCAGGCAATCGGGGCTTGCAGATTCCCAATTTGGGCAACCTCAGCACCTCCCCAAACAAGGACAGCAACATCTGTCTCACTGAGGAACTTCTGATCATCTGCAAAGTCCTGAAATGGAAGAGCTTGAAGGAGCTGAACTCCTCATGTAGCACAAGACAAGGCTGGGTTCTGCTGGCAGTTCCACTCGTGACAAGACCACGGCTTGGATGGGGCAGCTCCACCAAAGCCAGAGGAGCTGAGGGGTGGATTTCGGGTTCCTCCCACGGCTCCTGCTCAGGGAGCTGCTTTCAGGTCAGCAGCACCGTAAGCAACACAAGTCTCAGACATGTAAATGCTGCTGTGATCTCAAAAGGATGGATAAGCTGAACTGAGCATAAGCTGATTGACCCTCAGACCCTGCAAGCATCCTCATCCTCCACTGAACCCAGAGCTGCAATAAATGGCAGAGTCAACTCTGGAAACCTTTGAACTTTTGGCTTAATTCTTCAGGGGCTGTAAACATCCCGGTGTGTGTGCAGGGCTCTGGGACAGAGGGGCAGGAAAGCTCCCTGAGCCCCAGAGCAGCACACGCAGATTGCTGCCACACCCCAAATGCAGATTTAAAAAGGCATTTTTGTCCCACTGCGCTTCAGGTTTCAATTCCTGCAGAAAGCAGGAACCACTCTGCAATAACCTCCGAGTCCTTCACTAGTGCAACATGTGAAACCCTCCTTAAAGAGAATTTCTCCTGTTCTCAAAAGTATCCAAATAAGGACATTCCAAACACTCCAAAAGAAAATGGATAGTGTGCACAAAGTCAGATGAACTTTCCACTATCAATTAAAGATTTTTCAGGAAGAAAGGAGTCTTTATTTTCTTGTAACACGGTGTGCATTTAGAATTTGACACAAGAACTCCCAGGATGATTCCCAGTGGTTTTCACATCTAAGAAAGAGGAGCAGCAAAACTTCCTCCCCACAGCCTGCACATGGTTTATGTCACAGATATGTGACAAACAAACAAGAAAACAGAGGATTTTAATTCCTCTAAAGAACAGGCATCACCTGAGCAACTCCCCTAGAAGCTGCTGCTCAGCATGCGGATTTTCAACGAGCAATTGGTAAAAGAATATTTTATATATATATATATATAAATTTATTAGATATACATTAAAAAATATTTTTTATAGAAATATGTGAATATATAAATAGGAATAAAAACAAAATAAAATTATAAAAACAAAATAAAATGTAAAAATAAAAATTAAAAAATAAAATATAGAATATAAAATATAAAATATAAAATAAAATAAAAATATAAAATATAAAATATATAAAATATAAAATATAAAAATTTAAATATATATTAAAAAATCAAATGGTGTTCTACAGGACATCCCAAAAGCAGCTTACCATCCTGGTTACCCCACTCCCAGTCAGGCCCACGGACCACTTTAGCCCCCTGGAAAGTCCCTTTTAACGTGATGCGAGTCAGATTCTGCCGAGGGCTGACGAGGACCCTGGAAAAACAAAATCAGAGGAAAAAACTGAATTTTTTTGCTGCTGTAGACACTGCCAGAGCTCTGCTCCAGCTGAGCTTCACCTCAGGGTCGTGGCATGGAGGCACTGATGGAGCTCAGCACCT